TTATATAATATACTATAATGTATTTTGAAAGTATACTTACAATGCATTGTCACAATAATTAAGCACACAGTTAAAATATACCTAAAAATTATTTTTAATAAAGTGCAAATAAATACACTTTTAAAAACTAAACTGAATTTTCACCTCAAGTATATTTTTCTAATATATATATTTGTTTAGAAAATATACTAAAGTAAAATAATTTTAAAGTGTGTTAAAAGTTGTATTTGTGAAAATAGGTAAAAACAGGCTAATATACTTCTATTGTATACTTTATTGTATTTTAAATATAGGCTATTCTCTTTTTCAATAGTAGGCCTACATTGCAAATCGGCTACTTTTTTTCACTAGGGCTATCAAGTTTATAAATGACCAACTTCTAAAAAATAATGTATAGTCTTTGTAAAGACGTGCTCCCTTATATGACGAATCTGACGCGGAGCTGACGCGAGGCTGACGCGGAGCTCCAGCTCGCGGTGTGAAACGCCCATTAGGAACTGCTTTCTCTCCCCTTTAAGCATTCGCGCTCAGTCTCACTGTAAAGGCAGAAGCTCAGTGTCTTTCACTCGCTCATAGGCCTACTCATACATATGTCCTACTTACCGTCTCTTTATCAGTGAACATCGTGTTAAAACTTTGTTGATAAATACTTCATGGCGTGTATCCGTGTATTTAACGAACTCTCGTTGAAGCTGGAGCTTTTAATCGCGCGTGTGTTTGTCCAGTGAGAGAGAAGGACTTCCGGTGTGTTTTTGCTCATTTCGCCTCGTACTACTCTTCTTTAAAGGTATGTTTGTGCTCTTAATGGTTATATAATTTGTTTTAAGTTTCAATGTGATTGAATAGCAGAAGTTATCAAGTTTGACTAGCATCGTCAGTTAGGCTACCATACACACATTGGCAACAAAATATACCGATGTAATATAACGGTTAATGCAAATAAAACTACTAAGCATACTTGCAACACACTATCATATAAACACATCATATCATATGTGTGTAAATATTTTATAATATAAAGTCTTTTTGGTCATGCTGTGTCATTGAATAAGATTGAACCATAGTTATATTTTGTGAAACACTGTTATGTATTTTGTTGCCTACATGTATGTGTAATTATGTACGGTACATTCATGCCTTTTAGCATTCACGCTCTCTGTGTTTTTGCTAATTTTGCCTCATACTACTCGTCTTTAAAAGAGAATAAATGCCATCACTCATCCCATCCGTGCGCGATCATGCTTCTTTCCTGGGAGTAAATGCTAGGGGGATGTCCCGAATTTTTGTATATACTTTTTTATATATAAGGCACTTAAATGCTTATTTCTAAAGACTTATGGGAACAGACTGTATTACTAGTTTGGTCTAAGCAGTGATTAAATTGTGATTTATTATGTGGGCTCTCCCTAGGGGGGTCCGGGGGTATGCTCCCCCGGGAATTTTTTTTGAAAAATAAACCATTAAATGGCACTTTCTGGTAGGGCTGCACGATTAATCGAATTTTAATCACGATCACGATTTTGGCTTCCCACGATCAAATTCGCGTGATCGAGCGATATTTTAAATGCGTCATTCAGTTCACAGAAAGCTTTTTTTTTGCCAATCTAGCGCACCGTAAACCAGTGTCTGATCACGTGCCTCCATGAGCCCAGGTGCGCGAGAGAGACCTACGGTCTGCGTGCGAGCGACAGTGCACGAGAGAGACCGCGAGTGTGTCTGCGTGCGAGCAACAGCGCGCGCCTACCGATTGTGTCGCGCGCGAGAGAGACTGAGTGACAGTGCGCGTGAGAGACCGAGTGTGAGCATTAGTAAATTGCATTAGTAAATTGGTACATACTACATATATATATTTACTATTTATACCATGGTCTGGGTGAATACTCGATTCTGATTGGCTGCAGGGTGTCCGTTAAAAAGTGATAGAGGACACCTAAAGTAGTTCTGGTGAAACTGCCTGTTTACCATTCGAAATTAATAAATAAATGCGCTGCCTACAACAGCTGTGTGAGTAACCATAGCAACAGGCAGTCAACGTTAGTTAGATATTACATAGCCTACTACAATGAGCGACTTCGTTCGTTATTTCATCTTCAGTCTCTCACGTACTGACGGAGCCCAGTAAGCCCGCAGACTGCTCTCGCATCGATGGCCTGTCACCGACTTTATTTGACGGCTCTCCAGTCCAGCATCGGAGAGTCGACCTACAGCGGTGCTTCGGAGGCTGTGGTTAGTGTAGACTAGTGTAACACAAAGTGTTTTATGTGCAATAAAAAAATAACTATGCCTACCTTTGTGTTTCATGAAAAAAAAAATGCATTTTTGAACCTGAAGGGTTCTACAAGCTGAGCGGACTATAAATATCTCAAGTTGCTAAATAAATCGTCAGGCAAGTTATTATTTGAAAAAACTAGATTTAGCCTAATTAAAATATAAACTAATGTTTTAAAAATGTTTTATTTGGCAAGTGACCATGGTATAAGCGGGTTAATGCCCTTCGAGGTGACCGTTGTCAGGTTTTAATGGACTTCGGCGGAGGCAACCGTCCTCCGCTGCGCGTCGGCCGGTTTACACCTCGCCGTCGTCCATTAAAACCTGACAACGGACACCTCGTCGGGCATTAACCCTTACATAAGAGGCATGGAAGTTCGATTAATGGACTCCAATAATCAGTCCTACAAACGTCTTGTTTTGACCTATTGTTTAACAAATAGAAATAATTTGAGCACATAAACTTTCACATGGAGAATTAAATAGATTAAATTTATGCAGTAAGACTTCACAACTAATCACTGACACTGTAGGCCTACCACAACATTTTACATTTATTAAGCGTCAAATAACAATGACTCTGAATTTCATCCATTAATCGAACTTCCATAGTGCAGTTCTGCCTTGAAATGTTCTCATTTGGTTACATTCTGTTATGGAATATTTGTTTTTTTATTGATTGTATATTTTGCGTGTTTTATTCACATCCATTATGCAGGTACAATGCAAGTTTATATTTTGCTTCCTAAAATAGATTTACACAATGTAAAATGTAAAATAGTGCCCTGTTGAAGTTTTGCTACATTTTCTTTATTGTTTTCTTTATTCTTTAAGGAGATGCACTGAATTTTGGTGAATAAGAGGACCTATTTTATTTAGATACACATACATTAGCAGAAATGTAGCACAATATGGATGTGAAAGCAGTTATAATTTAGCCTATGTGGCAATAAAATTTGTTTTGGTTAAAATCAACAAATAATCGTGATAATTAATCGTGATCGCAATATTGATCAAAATAATCGTGATTATCATTTTGGCCCAAATCGTGCAGCCCTACTTTCTGGAGAGTTTTGTGCAAAGAAATTGAGAAAATGAGTCTTACATGATATGTGAAAAACTGCAAGATTAAGAGCATATACTTTGCATTGTTGTAGTATCAACAGGTATTAGGACATTTAGCATTTACATACATTACTGTTAATCAGTCATGTTGATTAACTAAAAATTAAAAACTCAAATAAATGGTTGATTTAATTTCCATCAACCACCTAGCTTACCCCCCAAGGATTGAAAAATAAAATCAATCTATACTTGTGGAAAGGTTCCTTGGTAGCTAAGGTCTAGCAAGTCTTATATTTCTGTAATTCACACAGATCAAACACAAATATGCTGCCTGAATAGATTGCTAGTTTGTTTTGAGTAGCCAGTTAGCAGTTCTCTTGGCAGTTTGCTGATAATCCGGTGTCTGAAGTAAAATGCTCAAAACATCTCCTGAGAAAAATCACATGGCCAACCTAGTCTTGGTCATTTAATTTAGATTTAGTCTTATTTTCCTTACCTTGTCATTTAAGGCCAGGGCACTTTATGTACATTTCTGGAACTTTTGCACGCTTCCACATCCCGCGCAACTAGGATCTCCCAGGAACACTCATTATATATTGCTGCGTACATTTATCCGTGTCACATAGATGCGCATGCGCGAGCGGTGCGCGATCATGGTCGACTGACAACGAGATTAGCAGCTGAAGAATTCGGCCGTTTTTTAAAATTGAATTATGTATTTAAAAGTTGCCGAATGGATTCATTTGGAGACTCCGAAATCGGCAGAGATAGGCAGGCAATGCAAAACAAAATCTTACATTGGGAAATAGTGGGGGGGACAAAACTTCGATTTTGAAATGTGGGGGGGACACGTATAATGGCTCCTACGCCCCTGCATTAAGGCGAGACACTACAGGTGAATAGGGTAAAACATTTAACTTACAGATACCACCATGAAACTTTATCAGTTGAATACTCACATGAATAAGAGAAAAAATGTCTTGCAAGTTTTCTGTAATTTTGTTTAAATATGCTAATCAGGCTATATCTAATTAAATGTGCTAATTTGCATATATTTTGAAGTGACGAATCTGACCATTGAAAAAAAAAACAAGGTTCAAAATTATTTTTGCATCTCTTGTCGGGATGTTAACGATTAATCGATGATCGATTAATTGTCGATAATACATTTAATGCGTGCTGCTCAACCGCGAAACATGCAAGCCAGCGCCGGAGTTATGTTTGGGACTATTTTACACCTTCATCATTCATGACCATGAGTTTACGTGAGCATTCACAGCCTTTTGTTTTGTGCAACTGTAAGTTGTAATAGTTTATTTTGTGTACGCCTATATCAGATTTATCTCATATTGAATGCATTTGGTTAAGAATTGACGCTAAAGCGTGATCTTTAGCGCGCGTAGCTCAAACGGCAATGCACGACTAATAATGACTATTGGACTGTCATATTGCATAACATTATAAAGAGAACAATATTGTAATAAAACATTGTGAATTATTTGGGTTTAGTTGCCGTGTCGCGTTGTTCCAGGAAGAGCGTGTCCACAACATGAGTAATTCTGGCAAGTAACAGTTCAAGTTCACCGCTCAAGTAGCAATGCACGACTAATAGGGCTGCACGATTTGGGGAAAATGTCATATTGCGATTATTGAGGTCAATATTGCGATATGCGATTGCGATTATAATAAATTGTATCATGAGTCAACTTGATGGGTTTTAAAGGAAAATGCACACACAGATTAGTGATAATGCTAAAATGTGTATTTGTAAAACTAGAAACGTTTTCAAATTAAATACAAAAATGAACATTTGCATTTATGTAAACTTATTTTCTCAAAAGTAAAGCTAAATAAATAAGACAAATAATAACATACACATTTTCACAAAAATAAGATTTTTTAACTTTTTTGTCCAAACAAACATGGACATTTACTCAGGATGTAACATATACTCTCTGTAAAAACTGTTGAAAACCCAAACCACTAAATCTTAAATGACCAACTTCCAAATCCTCTTTCTAAACAGTTAATCTTATCGCATTAGAGGTTCTTTGACAAAAACACAAGCATATCGACTTTCTCTGGTTTCAGACAGGAGCGATGATTTGTCACAACATTACCACTAGCACTAAAAGCTCTCTCTGATGCAGAGCTTGTTGCTTGTATGCCCAGATATGTCTGTGCTAGTTTGCATAGCCTAGGGAAGCTGACTTTGTGTGTCTTCCACCATTTCAGTGGATCTTCTCCATGGTCTACACATGGCATGTAAATGTAAACATTGAGTTCAGAGGCCACTGCTTCTCTTAACTGTGCCATGGAATCAAATGTGGATGACAATGGTGCTCTTGGTGCTGTGCATGTGGTTTCCTTAAAGAAACTGGCCAGAGTTGTCTTCTTGGCTTTAGCAGCAGGTGGACTTTCCACATCTATGCTATTATTGTCCATCACTGCAGGGCTTTGGGCTACATACTGCTGGCCGTGAATTTCCTGAAACAATAAACAATGCACATGTTTTAGAAATTTGTTACATTGAATAATTTTTTACCAGTAAACTCTGTGGTTTCACTCACGATCAACTCAGATATGGCTCGTTCCTTTAAGGTCTGGGTCTCTTCTTCAGAGATGTGTTGTGTTCTGAACCTTGGGTCTAGGAAAGTGGTGAAGTTTAGCAAGTCCTGAATGCCTTCATATTTGCTGTTGAGGTAGCTAAGAATGTTGGATTTCGGTGACTTGGTCAGCTCAGTGTCTGCTTCGTCTTCAGCCAGCACTGATGTGTTCAGAAGATGCAGAGCAGATTTAACACAAGATATGCTCACATAACTTTCACCCGATAAGGCATCCGTGAAGTCCTGTAGAGGGCTGAGTGCCTTGTTTACAGATTCCAAGACCTCCAGGTCCTGCCAAGAAGGGAGTAGGTGTCGCACTTTGCGGTCTGTAGAGAGAACCTTGGACAATGCACTTTGCTGCTCCAGGACTCTTTCTATCATTTTCTGAGTGGAACCCCATCGTGTTGCGCAGTCTGTCACCATGGCATGCTCTGGGAGGTTGAGCTCTCGTTGTGCTTCCCTCAAGGCCACTCTTTTCTTCCAACTATGGGAGAAGTGGCCCACAATCTTCCTGCATATCCCAGTAGCTCTGTTAATGCATTGTGCATTCTTTTTCAGAGCATTTTCTGTGAATGATAGATGAAAAACATTTACTCACTACACATTGGAAAAACGTTTAATATTCACATTTTGATTCCATGCCCAGTTCATATGAATAGCATAAAACACACACATACACACACACACAGTTAATATTTGTACTAAATCATGTCACAACTCTAGGCCTAATTAATTATATTGGCAAAAATGGCAATGGCAGATTTGTTCTTTACAATCATCCATCTTTTACAGAGTTATGTTTAATGCTAATTAATAGCCCTAAATGAAACGGGCCACTCCTAGTATCTTTTGTGACACACAGAATTTTACATTGTATTTCAAGTAATTTTATTTCATTAAATAAATGGTACAACTGCCCCTAACCCAAAGTTATTTGCTTATAAAAGTACAGTAGTTTAAAATATTTGCTTTAGTGTAATATAACGAAATATGAAAGCAATTTAACTTACCAATGGCCAAATGAAGTCTATGACTAAAACACTGGATTCTAGTCCACTGATTAAGCTCCACTGCTTTGACCATGTTAGTGCCGTTGTCTGTTGTTATGGCTACCTGACGCCCCTTGGCAGAGGTCCCACGCAGCCAGTGCCTCTCTCAAGCCCAAGGCTATGTTTTCTCCTGTGTGGTCGGCGGGGAAGTACGATGTTTGCAGGCAGTGGCTTTTCAATTCAAACTCCTCGTCGACAAAGTGCACAGTCAAGCTAATATACGGTTCACTTGTCCTGCTTGACCACAGGTCCGTAGTGGTTGAAAAGAACGTCACCGTAGCCATTTCCTTTTGAACTTCGTCACGGGGCGAGTTATAAAGTTTAGGGATCGCTATTTGAGAGAAATAGTTTCGACAGGGCAGTTGGTACCTCTTGTCCAGTGTGTGGATCATTTTCTGAAATCCCACTTTACTAACGGCGTGTATGGGCATCATGTCTTTTGCCAAACAGTGCGTTATGGAGTCAGTGATTTCTTTATGTCTAGCCGAAGACTTATCATATGGCGTGATGCTTGCACATCTGTAATTTTGTTTTGTTTGGCAATCGGCAAACTGTTCTCAGAAAGTTTGCCTTCACATACACACTCTTATTTATTTAATATAATCGCAACATTTTGCCGTCATATAATCGCAGAGGGCTGACATCGCGATTGCGATGCGATTAATCGTGCAGCCCTAACGACTAATAATAACGATGATTAATTTGGGACTGTCATATTACATAACATGAGAACACTATTTTATTAAATCGTTGTGGATTCATTGGGTTTAGTTGCCGTTTTCAGTGCGTCGTTCCAGGAAGAGCACGTCCACAACGGTCACACATTCTGACAAGCACGCATCTGAGGCGGTGTTATTGACACGTATTAGTCGTTATATTTGATTATTAAATAATTAATTTAATTAAACAACTAATTAATTAATTAAATTAATTTAGTTTCCTTAGTGTTTCAAGTTATTATTTCTAAAGCACATTACTACCGGCCGCCGGCCGCCCAAAGTGCTGTACAATAATTACAATATAGAAACACAATAAAGACTGTAGTAAAGTTCAAAGTTCGATATAAAAAGGATGGAAGAAGACAGGGGTCGGTGTGACTGGGTCTCGTACACTTTTATTTTCCAAACTCATACAGGTGCGCCCGAGCGCCTTCACCATAGATAAACTACAGCACAGTCTCAAGTTACTCAAAATCACGTTGGTTCTCTGGTTGTGTGTGTACAAGATCCCAGTCCCTCTCTCTCACTCGAACACACGCAGCAACCGGCCTTTATCCGGTCTCCCCACGCCAATCACTGCAATCAGAAACAGGTGTTCGTCATCTTGCACTTGACCTACTTACTTACCGCTCGCCTCCACCCCCGCTCTCCCGCTACAGACCTCGCTGAACCACGCCCCCCTACTACATACCCCCACCGCCCGACTCAGGCCGGGGAGCCATCCGGACTGCAGCCTCCCCCCCCCCTCCTTCTGGAAAGGAAGTCGGCCACAGCCATCTGTGCACCCGGCCTGTGGACCACCTGAAATTTAAAAGGTTGTAATGCTAGATACCAACGGGTGATCCGCGCGTTGGTATCCTTCATGCGGTGGAGCCACTGCAGAGGAGCGTGGTCCGAACAGAGGGTGAACTCCCGTCCCAAGAGATAGTAGCGGAGGGTGAGAACGGCCCACCTGATGGCAAGACATTCTTTCTCAATGGTGCTGTACTTAGTCTCTCTCTTAGAGAGCTTGCGACTAATGTACAGAACCGGCCGCTCTCCACCCTCCATCTCCTGGGACAGGACTGCGCCCAGCCCCCTGTCCGACGCGTCAGTCTGTAGAATAAAAGGGAGATAAAAGTTAGGAGCCTGTAAGAGCGGTCCGCCACATAAAGCAGCCTTTATCTGGGTAAAGGCCTGCTGACACTGCTCCGTCCACTGGACGGTATCTGGTACCTCCTTTTTAGTTAGATCAGTCAGCGGACTAGCGAGGTCCGAATAATTAGGCACAAACCTTCTATAATATCCCGCTAGCCCCAGGAACTGTCTAACCTCCTTTTTGGTCTTAGGTCTTGGACAGGTCGCAACTGCTGCAGTTTTGTCAATTTGGGGACGCACCTGCCCATGACCCAAGTGGAAACCCAGATACCTGACTTCCACACGCCCAATCGCACACTTCTTCGGGTTGGCCGTGAGCCCGGCCCCCCTCAGCGCTCCCAGGACAGCACGCAGATGCTGCAAATGCCGCTGCCAATCATTACTATAGATGATAATATCATCCAAGTAAGCAGCGGCATATGCAGCATGCGGCCGGAGAATCAAACGCTGAAAGGTCGCCGGCGCCCCGAACAGCCCGAAAGGAAGCGTGACAAATTGGTGTAATCCAAACGGCGTTGTGAAAGCTGTTTTTTCTTTGGAAATTGGAGTTAAGGGGATCTGCCAATATCCTTTCGTCAAATCCAGTGTCGAATAAAATCGAGCAGTACCTAGCCGATCAAGTAGCTCATCAACCCGAGGCATTGGATACGCGTCGAATTTCGACACGGCATTCACTTTGCGATAATCCACACAGAACCGGACCGAGCCGTCGGTTTTAGGCACTAAAACTATCGGGCTAGCCCAGTCACTGTTGGATTCTTCTATTACTCCCATGTCCAGCATAGCCTCTAATTCCTCCTGAACCACTTTTTTCTTGTGTTCAGGCAAACGATATGGCCGGCTACGCACTACTACGCTCGGATCCGTCTCAATGTGGTGCTGAATGAGATTCCATCGACCAGGCAGGGGCAAAAACACGTCAGCAAATTCTGCTTGTAAATTGCGTATATCAGTGATCTGAACCGGCGAGAGGTGGTCTCCTCCAAGTGCCAGAGCGAGAGATTGTGATTTTGGACTCGTCTCTGGACCGAGATCCTCCTCCCCACTCACCACCGATGCCAACATCACTGATTCCACCTCATTCCACTTTTTTAACAGATTCAGGTGATAAATTTGACGTGCCCCGTCCCTATCTGTTCGAATGACCTCATAATTGAGATCCCCAACTCGCCGTGTAACCTCAAACGGCCCTTGCCACTTCGCGAGTAATTTAGAACTGGATGTGGGAAGTAATACAAGTACTTTATCTCCCTGTGCAAATTCTCGCAGTCTAGTCCCCCTGTTGTACAGCCGACTTTGCTTGTCCTGGGCCTGTAACAAATTTTCCATAGAGAGCCGCCCCAACGTGTGGAGTTTTGTTCTCAGGTCCATGACATATTGAATTTCATTTCTGCTATTCGAAGGTCCGTCCTCCCAAGTTTCTCTAAGCACGTCTAGCACCCCGCGGGGCTGACACCCATAAAGAAGCTCGAAGGGGGAAAACCCTGTGGAGGCTTGGGGGACCTCGCGTACAGCGAACAAGAGGAGTTCTAGCCATTTATCCCAATTTCTGGCGTCTTCTTGTACGAACTTTCGAATCATTGTCTTTAATGTGCGATTAAAACGTTCCACCAGCCCGTCCGTCTGTGGGTGATAGACGCTGGTGCGAATCGATTTAATGCCCAATAATTCATAAAGCTCGCGAATCGTACGTGACATAAACGCCGTGCCTTGATCGGTGAGAATCTCTTTCGGGATTCCCACCCGGGAGATTAATTGAAACAGTGCACTCGCCACGCTCTTCGCGGAAATCGTACGAAGTGGCACTGCTTCTGGGTATCGCGTTGCATAATCCACTAGGACTAAAGCAAAGCGATGCCCCCGTGCAGATCGCTCTAATGGCCTGATGAGGTCCATACCAATTCTTTCAAAGGGGACCTCTATCAAAGGAAGAGGGCACAATGGTGCTTTTGGGTTGGCCGGCGGATTCACCAGCTGACATTCACGACAAGCGGCGCACCACTTGCGCACGTTCTCGTGGATGCCCGGCCAAAAAAATCGGGTCATTAAGCGATTGAGTGGAGCTGCCTGCCCTAAATGCCCAGCCATCGGATTACAATGAGCCGCCTGAAAAAGCATTTCCCGGCCGCTTTTTGGAACTAACAACTGTGTTGTATCTTGCTTTGACTGGGTGTCTTGGGTCACCCGATACAACTTATCTTTTAAAAATGCGAAATAAGGATATGAGATGGGCCGGTCTGGGTGAAGAGGCTGCCCGTCGATTGTACGGACTTGATCAAAGGCATTTTTCAGCGTTTCATCTCGGGACTGCTCCAGAGGAGAATCATCGCGTTCTGAAAGATCTCTCCTTTCAATCGCGCTCCGTTCCTCCGAGACAGGCTCCGATGGTCCCGGAACAGCCTCTCCCACCTGAGCAGCCCCCTCCTTCCCCCGCTTTTTCCCTTTCCCAGATGCACCCGCACATAAATGCCCTAATAAAATCTTAAATCCTGGCCAATTGGTCCCCAAAATCAGCGGATGCCGAAGGTGCTGACTAACAGCCACCTCCACCTTATGCTTTTGTCCCCTGAATTGAATCATGACTGGCATTAAGGGATATTCCATCACCTCCCCGTGCACACACCTCACCTTAACCGCGCGGCTCTTATCCAATGCCTCGGATTGCATCAGACTTTGATGAATCGAGGTTTGGTTACAGCCTGAATCCACCAAAGCCTGATACGTACCCCCCTTTATACTCACAGGTATTTGGTATAATCCGCCATGACCGGGGGCAGCCTGCGGTGTGTCGGGTACCCTGACCAGTGTCCCTACCTCCATCACTGTACACTGGTCGACAAAATGCCCAGGGTCCCCGCAACGCCAACAGGCCGGCCCAGACCTTCCCGCCGCTCCAGTGGCGGGAAGCGGGTCAAGAGATTGGCGTGGGGAGAGCGTTAGGGCCGGTGCTGGACCGCCGCTGGTCGCGGCGACAAATTTCCGAGGCGCTGTCCTCGGTCCTGAACTGGGCTCCGTCGGGGCTCCAGCCCTCCACCTCGGCGCTGGTCTGGGCGGAGCCGACCCCCGATACCTGGGAGCAGGGACAGGTGGAGAGAAAGAAGAAAAAGAAGAAAGAGAGGACGTTGGTAGGTTTTCACCGACCCCTGGACACGCCGCCAGCTGATCCTCCGCCAGTTGGATGGCCTGGTTCAGCGACGTCGGGCGGTGGCACTGGACCCACTGTGCAGTCTTCTTGGGCAGTCTCGCCACAAACTGCTCCAGCACCACCTTATCGATGACTCCCTCGACGTCGCGATCCTCGGCCATCAGCCACTTGCGGCACGCGTCCCGGAGCTGCTGCGCGAAGACGAAGGGCCGGCCGGACTCCCCGAGTTCCAGCGACCGGAACCGCTGTCTGCTCTCCTCAGGGGTCTGACCGACCCGCTGGAGGATAGCGCGCCTTAGGTCTTGATAGACCAGGGGGTTCTGGACTGGCAGTTGTTGGGCGGCGATCTGTGCTTCTCCAGACAGCAGAGGGATCAGCCGCATTGGCCAGTCCGCCGGGAACCACCCCCCTGACTCGGCCGCTTTCTCGAACAGATCGAGAAACGCCTCTGGGTCATCATGAGGACCCATCTTCTGTAACGGAATGGCGGTGGCCGAGGCAGTCGCTGGTATTAATGGGTCGGCCCGAA